TTTTTTACAATTAGACACTGTAGCTACATGACTGCAAACCTGATGAGCACATATGTCGTGTCTAAATACTTGAGCATGATTCATGAAGAACCTTCACTACTTTTTCGCAAAAATGTTGGTATTGTTTGGTATTGGGTTTCCAAATTCGGGAATATCTAATTGAGGCCGCCAAACAATAGTTTTATGTTTGTTTGTTTGTTTCTTTATTTTTCTTTCTTTCTTTAATTTATTGTTCAATGCAAAGGTAGATGCTTTTCTTTTAAATAGAGTAGTTAAGAAATTAAACTCCTTTTATGACCATATTTAATTTTCATGGTTATCACAATTTGCTGAAAGCATTACTTGCAGGTCAAAGGCAATCCCGAGGACCATCTGGATGACGGTCACACAAGTAATTATGGCGATTACTTACCTACTCTTTGCTTCGGGTCTCGATGGCACCCTCTTTGTAGCCACTTCATTGCTCGGCATTTGCTATGGGTTCCAATTCTCTATCATGGTCCCGACTGCTTCCGAGCTTTTCGGGCTCAAGAACTTTGGCATGTTCTTCAATTTCATCTCCCTCGGTAATCCATTGGGTGCGTATCTATTCTCGAACCTTCTTGCTGGCTTTTTGTACGACAAGGAAGCCGAAAGGCAGCAATCCTCGACTTGCTTAGGTTCCCATTGCTTTAGAACCACTTTCATTGTCTTGTCTGGGGTATCTGTCATTGGCTCAATGCTTAGTGTGGTATTGACCCTGAGGCTAGTCCCCGTTTACAAGATGCTCTATGCTGGGGGCTCGTTCAGGCTGCCTCATAGTTCAAAGCATTGAGACGAACCAAAAAGAAAAGGAAAAAGGGGAAAATGGATTAGCGATCTCATAATCATGTGGCACGGCTATTTAACCTGCGCATGAATGTTTGTTGATATATTTAATGTAACGGTATGTATCTGGATTTCGAAAATGATAAGAGATCCTTGTGTTGGTTTTGATTCCATGCCACTAATGAAGCACCAACAGCCACTCATAAATTTGATTTTGAGTAGGGTTAAAACATTTGAACTGTTTCTGCATATGATGATTCGTTAGCATTTGAACTTGAAAAATTGTCGGAAGTCACTTAAGAATCTATACAAGTTAGTTGAGATATTGATGCTCATGTGAAATTGCACTCTTATGGATACCTCTGGAGTAAGAGTGTACCACTGGTTATAGACACATACAACATATTTTCATAGACTTGTGTAGACAGGTATCACAAGTCATGACATAACATATGCAGAATGTAAGATCACAAACACACAAAATTGAAGGTACAAATTAACAAACGAAATATGGGCCGGATCTCTAAGTGGGCTTCATATCTCGAAACATAATAGACCACAACGACTGAGCCCCCTGATCCTGATCGGCGACCTTCCCGCCTCGAGCGTACCCAATGTGCGGGCTGAGGCCCAACCTTTCTATCGGCCCAGACACCATAGGGCTCCTACAGATAAACCCCGACCCATCTTTCGCCCGTCCGTCGTTCATGGGCCGGCCTGGGCCCATTGGGCTCCAATCCGGATACACGGCCCTCTCCCGCATTATCATCCCCCCATCCAGAGGCCCAGAAACACTACTATTTGGGCCCATGCACCTTTGCTGCTGCTGCATCCTCTTATCCAGAGGCCCCGACCACATCATGTTCCTACCGGGGACGGCGTTCATTCTCTTGAGGGCCCCACTCCAGTGGTTCCTGTAAGGCGACTCGTCCGACTCGTCAGGAGCCGTGTTGTTGTTGTTGTTGAACGGAAACAACGAGGAGGGATTTTTCCTCGGCCCGAGCTTGGAGATGTTTTTCGTGATGAGCTTCCGAGTCTTGTTTACGGCCGAAACTAGCCTCGACAAGCCATAATTCATGCTTATTCCCCTCTTGACGACCTCTTTTCTTGCTAGCTTGAGTATCTCGAGCCTGTGCTTGGCCACGAAGATTCCGAGGCTTTGAAGGAACTCGTGGTTGAAGTAGGTTAGGTCCTCGAGTTGGAGCTCGTTTCGGATGAGGGCTTGGCCGTATTCGTACGCGAGCGATGGCTCGAGGTTTGTTTTCGATAGCCATGAGCACCAATCCATGGCATTTGGTTCTTTTATTTGGTAAGGGACCCTTTTTTTTTCCTTCTTCTTGTTATGGGCAAGTGAAGTGATTTGGAAAGTTGTGATGTATGATATATAGAGATGGGAGTTGAGGGTTTTGTTGAGATTGGAGTTGGAAATTTTAAAGATGCATGATATGGTGGGTGAAGGTGATAGATTACTAGTGTAATATCCATAACTTCTTGTTTTATGGATATGCAAAAGGGTAGTTGGCATATGATGAAAGCTAGTAGGGGCTATTAAATTGGACTCTTTGCTTTTTTCTTGATTTTTTTCTTCCTTCTATTTAAAATGTCTCTTATGCTTGACTGATTTTAGTTACCTACAACCATGATATAGCTTTTAGCATTCAACCCATCATGCTAGTTAGAAAACCTAGGAACTCGAAGCGCAGCTCAGTCAGAAGTATTGGCGAAGCACAGTTCCGGTTAAATGATAGCCTTCTTCTCGAGAAAGTTTATTGAGTCCTTGCACTTGTTTCATGTATCAAGATTTCAAAGTTTAGGAACATTAAACTCAATAATTGTGATAAATATTCATTAGAGTTGATGTATAGATATTCCACAAAGAGTTTTGATAAAAGTTATGTCTATGTGCGATGATTTTGACTACAAAGTTATATTTGAAAGCTAAAAGTTGCACGAACTAGACCTCATAGGACAAGATATATTGTATAAATCAATGTCTACCAATTTATAAGTAATAACTTGTTATTTTCAATTAAGAGTGATTAAATAATTTAATTTTTGTTTATAAATTTAATATTTTTTGTGCACGCAGTATGATATCAAATAATAAATCATTAAAAAGTTATTAATTTGATACATTATATATAAAAGCTTATGACAAATAAAATAATTAAGGTTTGAAATATTTATAACATGGAATCAAATGTATTATTTAAAAAAAAATGGTAAAAAGTTTAAATCTGTATGGATTATTTTAATGTACCAAAATTTAGCACATACAAAACACTAAAAATTGACCCGTAAAATTATATTCGGAAAAAAATTGACACTCTCACTCATTAAACTATCGGTTTATAGAAAGGAATGCGCCTTAGTCGATATTTCAATATTACACTAAATGTATACATGTATGAATATGAAATTTACGACATGATTGGTATGATGGAATGAAATTTAATATGAGTGAAATGAGTTGAAGAATTGAATGATTATGGGAATATAATGAAACAAGTACTTTCATTGATGTGTTTGGTATGCATCAGGAATAAGATCTGAATGAAATGGCATTATCATCTTATTATTATTTATCACTATTTTATTAAAAAAATTAATGTATTTATTAATGTTATTTTCTTTTTTAGAATATACTAAAATTATTTTATTTAAAAAATATATATTTTAATAAATATATTTTTATATTGTTATACCCATCTTATATAATAAATAACATAATTATGTTTTTACATACATATAAACGAATACAAAGATATTACTGTATAAACCCCTATAAGCAGGGGCAGAGCCACCCTAGGGCTAGGGTGGGCTCCAGCCCCATGTTCCAAAAAAAAAAATTGCTAAACTTATTTTTTAAAATATTTTATACATAGACCCATTAGCCCCATGTAATTTTTTATGTAACCCCATTTAATTTGGGGTGAATGCCTCAAGATTCAGATGAAAAATTTTTAACTCACAACAATGGTGGAAAAGTGGTGATTACAGTGAGGAAAAAAGATAATCTTTTATTGTCAAATGACAGTTATGACCTTATTAGATTTTTATCAATTGGGTCTATAATGTGGCCCAACACACTCTTGCCTTTTAAATTTTAATTAATGGGTTGACTTGACAAATATCAAATGAGTTGGATAATTAAGCTCGACACAAACTTCTCCAACGGGCTATTTAATTGGATCGTCTCGTTCCACAGTTCGTTATCCATTTTCATTTATTTTTTTTTTTGTTGATTTCGCCTCCAATAATTAATTCGTCATCATTTCCTAGACAAAGAGAAAACTCGTACACAGTTGATTGCAAACATGTTCGCCTCTATTTGTTTGATCGACAAGTTCGATTAGCTATTTGAGGTTGGCTTGTTTAAATATATAAGCAATTCGAGATTGAGTTTTCTCAATTCAAACCGACATATGTGAACAGATAATTTGGTTCTAATTATGACCAAAGCAGGTTACATGTCGAAACCGCCGGTACCGGACCAAGAGTTGGAGGACCTGAACCGGCGCGAACATATGTACATGCCAGTTCATTGAACTGTCGGTTATTGGTCCTCCGATTCATTAAAAAAAATAAAAAATAATAAAAAATAAAATATATTTTTTTAAAAAGGAGGTTTAACCGTTACGGTTCCAGATCGGAACCAAAACTGCATGTTCAAAATGTATAAACTATAAAATATTGTACATAAACCAAACTGGTCAAAACCACGGGCCAGTTCAAGACCCATGGTTAACGGGCCGGTTTCTGTCGGTTCGGGCTGAACCGATAGGCTGGGTTGGCCCATGACCATGTCTACTAGGTTCCAATAATAGTTGCAATAATATGCAGCTCCGGGAAAAAAAAAATTTCTAGCTACGTCCCTCCCTATAAGCATATATGGTCGGATATAATTATTGTAACATAATTCATATAATTTATAAATATATAGTATATATGATTACATAAAATTAAAACAATATCTTTCTAAAATATTTATAAATGTAATTTTTGTGAGTTTTACTTTTATATAAGTATTTAATATATTTAAGTAAAATATGAATAATAAATAATCATAAAATTAGTTGTAATTATTTATCTAAAATTTATTTTTTACAATGATTATATTCAATATAATTTAACCATTATCTATAGTACATATTATATTTATTTTTTATTGCTGTTTGTTAATTTTATTTTTTGAGAACTTGAATCCTAAAGATATAAAAATGGAAAACCATGCACTAACTACGAAACAACTAATCTCATGAAGATGAGTTTTACAATTCCCATTAAAATTATCATTTATTTATAAATAATATACCAATCATAAGATTTAAAAAAAAAAAAAATCACTAGGTTTAGTTAATCTACATGGATGCATGTGGGATGTAGTAATTGTTCATCAATTTGGCAAATAAATAACATTCATAAAGTTGACCCACTTTCCTAAAGAAACAGCACTCAACTGCACTCTTTAAAAGGCTTTGAAACGGCCAACCCAATTTGTATTGCAATTTGTCTACTTTCATTTATGCGTACAATTAATTATTACAACGGCATCTAATAAATTAAAGGTTGTCCCCGTTTGGTGAAAGTCCAATCCAACCTCACAAAATTAAGGGCCAATAATAACGATTCAAGTAATGAAAAATCCCCTCCCCTATATATTAATACAGAACGCGTTGAGCCTACATGGCTGCTTCTGGTGCTTCGGAATCCTATGTGGCAAAATTACATATCTCGTTATTAGGCTTGGGTAAATTTTAATTTAATTCCAAACACAAAAAATAATTAGGTTCGGGTTACCATAAATATGTTGATTATTTATGGTCATGTTACATGTATTAATTGTATTTTAATACAATTCCTTATTATAACTATTGAATTGTATATGTATTTTAAAAGTTAATAACTTTTGTATTTTTTATCAGTTTTACATATGTAATATATCAAATTAATCTTCTTTTGATGAGCTTCGATTTAACATCCATATTGTATGTATAAAAAAATAAT